ACACACACACACACGCGCGCGCGCGCGCGCGCGCGCGCACACACACACACACACACACACACATAATTGATCATGTGACTCTGAATAAAAATTACATAAACATTATTTTAGGCATACTTCTCTCAGTCCTTTCTTACAACTTATAGCGTATTTCACTGGCAGAACCGGTGCGCACTCAGTGCACATTAAAGCTATTGTACATTAACCTAATCTGACTGTAAAAGTGAGAGATCTCAGTTAATAAAAAAAATACCCAATGTATATTTTATCAAATATCACAATAAAATATATTAAGGATTTCGTGGTTTAATTTATTTCTATATTTTTATTAAACGTACATTTTTATGTCGATTTGTGTACAACAGCTTTAAAGTGCACTGAGTGCGCACCAGCTTTGCTAGTGAAATACGCTATTATTTGATTCTTATGGATAGATCTCACGTATTACATAAAGTCTATATATGTATTCTTGAATTTCATGACCTAGAATAAATTCTTGCAACATGTTGGTGAGGAAGATCTAAATAAAAGAAATGCTAGTATCTTAAAAAAAGTTTACATTAAATATGTCTCGCGATCCCGCCAGATTTCTTATATCATATGAGGTGTTGGAGGTATTTACATTCTGATTATTAAGAGATAGTAATACTGGATTGAACATTGGTGATTTGAACAAAGGAACGCGTAGAACAAAGATTAAGAACAAGGACAAAGATTAAAAATTAAGAACTGAAAAAAGAACCGAAAAAAACCATAAAATTTTACTTGTTTCGGTGTTATAAACTATACAAAATTTGGGTACGGTTTCGGTTTCGGTTCATTAAAAAAAAGGGTTTCGAAACGGTTTTCGGTTCCAATTTCGATTCAGTTCGGGTTCCTGCCTAATAGTGTCAATTAAAATAATCGTAGTCGCAATTATATTGTTATGCCCGTACCGTTTCAAATACCCGTGTTGTGCTAACACCCGCAAGATCATCACCTATGTCCTGAAGATCGTGTTGCCTGGCGGCAATCCGTTCGGTTGTTTTGAGGAACAAACTCGTGGATTTCGGTGTGAGCTTTCGCTGCGCTGAAACGTTTGATTTACAGATGTGCTCTGAGTTCTTTATTAATAAACGTTTTGCACTGTTCTTTATATAAATAGCAGTGTTCTTTATTTACGCGTTCGGTAACATAGTGCGCGAACGAGTGATCGCGAGACGGACATTCGAGCGTAATAATATTGTCAGTTAAAATAAGCAGTATCGTTAAAATAATCGTTCTATATAAAATGACAGTGTCGCCATACAAACCAAACGTATATTGTTGTATATAATTTTGTATTGTCGTCGAAATGATCTATATTTAACTGGGGATACATATTTACTGATGTGTTATATTGCAAAAATTTGTATAATGTATAGTATACGTCGCACAATCATTGTACTCTAATGTATACAATAATATTGGTACTTTTTTAGTGTTGTCAAAATTACCGATTAACATATATACAGGATGAATCAGAGTAGTTGAACCAGTTTTTTTACCTTATGAGGTAAATTATCGGTTACACGCTTAATTATCGACTTAACGATACAGATCGGATGCGTGAATAACATCGTGTGAACTGTTGGTTTGAACGCGAGAACAGGTACGTTTAACGTTGAATTGTGAAAATTGATTTTTTAAATGTGCCTTTTTTCAGTGCGCCCAGCAATTCGCGCGATGTATCCACGCATCTGATTTGTATCGCTAAGTTGATAATTCCCATACAGCAATGGAGATCTATGGGATATATTAAAATCATCGCGGATATACGAAATATATCTCAATATCTTTAAGATGTCATCAGTATATTATAATGACTATATCATGAATACACTTCTTGTATAAGATATTCAAGAGATATCTTACCCCGAACAAAGTAAATGTGTACACGGAGGCGTTACGAGACACTAAGCAGGTACGCTCCAGCATAGGGCGCAAATTTTGGAGGAGCGCAAAATTTTAATAGGCAGCGCTACTCTTGTAAATATAAAGCTCTATCTTACTTGATATTTTAAATGAATTAGCTACAAGTGATTTTCTGGAAATCTTTTCAAATTTAGCAAGTGTTATGGATCTTATTAACTGTGCCAATATCTGTGGCAACTGCAAAATTTTTTAATCTTAATCTTTTTCAAAATTAAAAGTAATAAAGAATTATCTGAGAAATACGATGATGCAGACGCGATTTAGCTATGATATCAATTGAAAAATAATTGGCGAACAGTCTTGATTACGTAAAAATTGAAGACATAATCAGAATATTTTTAAAAGCTAAAGCCAGGAAATATAATAATATGTTGCATTAAGCGTCAAATATATGTATTATTACAAAAGAAAATACTAAATTTATTGCATTCGTATTCCTGTGTTATACAAATTAATGGAAATTCCTTTTTTTTTAATTGTTGCCTTGGCGGAAAAACTTTTACAAAAATCTATATAGGTTGAGACAATATCTTAGAAATTATTAGTTTTTCATAGACATTCATTATTGGGATTTAGAGCGACATTGTTTGTTTGAAAAACCTAGAAATCCTCCGCCTTCAAATAACGCCACTCTACGTCTCGCTACGAGTATCTACGAAAAACTAAGAATTTCTAAGACAGACGAACCTCACTCTACATCTCACCACAAACATGTACGAAAAATTAAGAATTTCTAAGATCTTGTCTCAATCTATGTAATTTTTCTGTATCTTTTCATAAAAATTTTTTTTCCGCCAGGATGGTTCGTTGCCATTGGCGGCGGATTGGTGCTTCAGAGACTTAGCAATTCTTATGATTGGACGCAAAAGCAAATTCCAGCGTAGGACGCCAAAAGTGGTCGTAACGCCTCCATGTGTACAATATATCTCGGAGACATTCTGAAGACATCTAACAGATAAGATATCTTCCAGTCGTTTCTATATAAGATGTCTCTTTATATATAAAACTTATAGAACAGTACGTAATTATAATGTACTTACATATATAAGGGCATAATTAAGGAAATTATCTCTTCAGATGGTATTCATCTTAGAACATATACTACTGGAAGGAGCATAGGCTCGAAAAGTTGAAGCCGAGAAGATTGACAAGGATGGAGGTAGAACGCAGAGAAGATTGACAAGGATGGAGATAGAATGCGTGATCCTAGATTGTAATGCGCATGCTTGTCGCCTTTTCTCTTCATCCCGCAGACCCCGTGCGAATGGTCTAAGCATGCACATTGCTGACTAGGCACATTCCATCTTCTTGTCAATCTTCTCAGCTTCAGCCGAAAAAATGGGATTATCGGCCTATGCTCCTTCCAGTAGTATATGTTCTAAGGCTCTAAGGTATTCATAATTAGGTTTTATAATTTAAAGATGTGCTTACACGTACATTTCTGAACAGCTAAATAAAGCTGGTTCTACATTGGATGCCTTTTTGGAATTTTAAGGTTAGAATATTTTAGAAACCTGACGTAATGGTGCAATTTGGGCTATGGATTTGGTTTTAGCATGCCAGAAACCTTCGTGAGATTACATACTACCATAATGTCTGTATAATCGGTGTAAATTAAGCCATCATTATAATTATAAAAAACATTCTCCCAAATATGTCCTGACTAGATATTATAATTATCTCTAATATATCTTTATAATATACCTACGAGATAACATTTCAGATTTTACTATAAGGAACAATAATCACGGATATCTCAGGAATAACGTAAGAATATATTTCGCTTAAACTTGAGATATCTTAATTCTTCTTTGGTGCGGACATTAATATATCCTATTGATATTTGCCATATATCCAGATGTCTACTGAATATCTTTGAGATATTGCGATATCCCAGCACGATATCTTGACGAGATTCCACAGATTTCTTTTGCTGTGTGGGTTAGGTGAGGTCGATAATTTTCTCGTAGAGTAAAAAGCTAGTTCAACGATTCCGATACACCCTGTATACCCAATCAAAAATAATAATGGAATCGACATCGAATCGACGTCGATTTCATGTTTTCGACGTTGTTCGATGTCGAATCTACATCGATTCGATGTCGATTCCATTATCATTTCTGACTAGATATATATCCCATATAGCAATGTATTTCCTTAGGATATCCTAATTTGATCAGATTGATCCCATTCTGATCCAAAACATTAAATCATCCTCAGGATATTTGTAATTATCATTGTACTAATATAAAACGTCCCTAGGATATCATATTTTGATCCGATAAAATTTTGATCACTTATATTGATAAATTGTATTTTTCAACTTCCGATACATATATGTATGTTATATACATTTATGTATTTTACGTATATTATAGAGACATATCTTTGCAATTTAATTTTTAATTTTTTAACAATGTTTATATAAATATCCCACATAACATACTGAAAACTACTCTTTGTTTCGGGAAGAATTTAAGGTAAATGTCCCAATGACCGGACACGTCCCAATGTCCGACCACATTGAAATAAAATATTTGCTGTTTATTTGAACAGTTATGAATAAAAATATCAATCATTGTAAAAAATATTCCTATATTTGACGATTAATTAGGAAAAAAGAAGTACATCAAATTAATAATTTTTATATTAAAAAAAAATTATTATGTAAGCATGCGTCTATGATTTGATAAAATGGTAGGTAATCGTTAAGAAATTCGTTAAGCGTTAGCATTCAACTTATAGAATAAAAACTGAATATTTAATTATATTTGTGAATAAATAATTGAATATTTAATTTTAAAGATTAATTAAAAACTCGTTTTGACGAAATTCATCATACAAATCACAATAAAAACAATATTTTTAAGTGTCCGGAGACTGGTACATTTAAAGTACTAATGGTCCCAATCACCGCCCACCGGACTCGTATATGTGCAACAGCTTGTGAGGTTAGATTAGAGGTTAAAGTCACAAGTTTATAAACGTTACGGAATTGTTTGGTAAGTAAATAATTATATATTTTCAAAGACTTAATTGCATGTAAGAGTTTTTAAAACTACTCATAGATAATTTCTTTTATTTATATATGTTAAAATAAGTTATGTATAATAGCAGTTATTTATCACAATGAAAGTTAAAATCTTTTTTTATAACCTTATTGAGCAAGTGTCTTTAAAATCATGCATGAATAATTAGATTAGTGATTAAAAATCAATAGAAAAATAAACTTACTTTTACAGATAAAAATGAAAACAAAACAGCAGCAGGGTAAAAGGTATTCTCAGTCAGTGATTAATGATGTAATACATGCTATTCACCGAGGGATTCCGATTAGACGAGCCAGCAAAATATATGGAATTCCAAAAACTACGCTGCATGATAAATTTAAAAACAAATCACAAATTGAATCTACAATGGGACCATCGACTATTCTGTCTTCAGAAGAAGAAACCCAGTTAGTTAATTGGATATTGTATATCAGTGAAAGAGGCTTTCCGGTGACCAAGGAACAATTGTTAGACAGTGTGCAAAAATTAATGAAGCAGTTACAGAAAGAAAATCCTTTTACGAACAACAGGCCTGGACGTCATTGGTATGAATCATTTATTCATCGACACCCTGAGCTATCACATCGACAGATGTGCACAGAATTTAACGACTATCAGAGCATCAGTTAATGAAGATTGTTTGAGAAAGTGGTTTCATGAAGTTCGTCAATACTTGTTAAAGAAAGAATTGCTCTCTATTGATGCTTCACGGTATTTTAATTGTGATGAAAGCTCCTTTTTATTATGTCCGAAAGCAGAGCAAGTTATTGTTAAAAAAGGTGCTAAATCAGTATACAAAATTGTAAATGCTGACGAAAAAGAGGCACTGACAACATTAGTAATGATTAGCGCTTCCGGAGTTATGGCACCTCCGATGATAATGTATGCTTATAAAAGAATACCAGCAACTATAACACAGAATATCCCCAAAGGATGGAGCATTGGAACTTCAGACAGAGGATGGATGACTGCTGAGTCATTTTATGAATATATTACTAACGTATTTTACCTGTGGCTGAAAACCAATAATATTGTATTTCCCGTCGTATTATTCATGGATGGACATTCCTCACACTTGACATTGCCTTTGAGTAATTTTTGTCGACAGCATGAAATAGAGTTAATAGCTCTATATCCAAACGCCACGCACATTTTACAGCCATTAGATGTAGCGGTTTTCCATCCTTTAAAAATGGTTTGGAAGAAGACTGTCAATAATTGGAGATTAGAAAATAATGGAGAACGCCTCAAAAAAGACATGTTTGCCCCACTGTTCAAAAAGACTCTTGATTCAATAGATCTTACTTCTATGGCTAAAAATGGATTTCAAACGTGTGGACTCTATCCTTTTACACCTAATGCTGTGGATTTTAATATTTTAAACAAACAAAAGAAATCCAAGAACCTAATCAATACTGAACCTAATCAAACAGATTCGCTAAAACAGTTTATTAGCTTTTTTGAACGTCAATTGTCAGAAGAAATGCTCCAAACATTTAAAGCGGCGGAGATAGGAGTTTGGAATGGTGAAATTAAAAATGAAGGTCTTTTTCAACACTGGCTGAAGATTAAGGGTAAAACCGATGACACATTTGATAAAGTGAAAATACTGTAATACTATAATTTACAAATATAAATATAGTATTTATAAATAACTGCAGAATCTCATGTTTTTTATTATAATTTATTGTATGTTTTAGAAATTAACTTATTTTTTGCATCTTTATTCCAATTCTATAGGTAATGTTGATTGTGATAAGCCTAGAAAAGATACTTTTAACAGCAATGAAGAACAAAGAATCGAACAGATAGCTACGAAACAGAATCGAAACGCGACAAATGATTATGTTCAAGAAACATTGTATATAGATAAAGAAATTCCGGCCATTTTATTAGATGATATCCATAAATCTACAGACACTAACAGTATTTCAGCAAATGAAATAGCAATTATTCAGCCTGAAGAATCGCAACCAATTATCATTGAGCTTTTGGAATCTCAGGAACAAAATACGTTTGAAAATACTACGGTTCCGCTAACAGGTTCTAAATCTGACATCGTCTTTGATAATTTGGAATCGCAGGAAAACAATAAAAACATTCAAAATATTTCCGGTAAATAATCATGTTGTATATATAAATGTTGCATATGTGGAATAACGGCTATAAATATTAGTAGAGCAATCAGTATACATATAATAAATTTAATTTTTTTACATATACGAATCAAGATATTCCAAATGTTTCTTCTCCTTTTAAAAATACTCTTTTTTGGCCTGGAAATTCTACTACAAAAAAGAAAAGATTAAAGGATAAAATTCCTGCAGTTGCGACTCTGATGAGTGGCTGAAATATCACACAACAAAGGAAGAAGAAAAACTTCAAAAACAAAAAATAAAAGAAGAAAATAAGAAGAAAAGAGAAGAAAAAAGATTACAAAAGATCAAAGAACTTGAAGAAAAGAAACAGAGAAAGTTGAAAAAAATGAAAGAAGTAGAAGAAAAGAAAAATTTAAAAACTAAAAAGAAAGTTATTAAAAAAATACCAAAGAAAAATAAAAATCTTATTTAACTAATTATTTTATTTTACTTTATCATTCTGTTATGTATAGATTCACTGTCGTTAAAAATTTATTTAGCTTGTGAGTTAAATGCACTTTAAGTTATCAACATTTTGTTATGCAAGCTATTGTATTTTATGTTGTGCAACAAATTATATTCTTATAATTTTTGATAAAAATAAAGTATATACCATTTAGTAAATAAATTTTTTAAAATTAGAGTTATATTTTTTGTCAATAAATATTTATATTAATAAGTATTTCCCATTAGCATATTAATTTTCATTTTGTGGTCGAACTGGTCGGACATTGGGACAAGTTACGTCCGGAAATTGGGCCATAACCTATTTTGGCTGTCCGGCCACTGGTACAATGTCGCACTTTAATATTTATATAATTATTTCATTAATAATTGTTAAAATGGGTTCAAATAATTTTGTCCGCTTAAGGAAATCTTTCATGTTTTCGGATAAATATAAATATTTATATTAAAAACCTTTCTAGTATTATAAATTGAATTATTTGTGATGATCTACGCTTAAATGTCCGGCCACTGGGACATTTACCTTAATCATATTTATCTTTATTATATATGTTATTGTTAAGGCTATTAATTTGACAGTTGCAGCTATAGCTTATTTCGTTTTTTATTGTACATAATTTATTTTTAAATAGGTATATGAATTATTTATTAATTGACAAAGCGAAAGCAGTTTTTGGTATATTTTACAATATCAGTTTTATCGATTATAAGTACTGTTTTAATGAAAATTTTCCATTTTACTAATTAAACTAATTATGAATAACTCTATTTAAAAAAGTACTTTCTGAGGCTCCATGAGCACACTCTGATCAAGCTAAGAGTAAGTGACGAACTCCATTCGCATATGCCTCTTCAGGCGTCATCTACAATACACGGGGTAAGAAGTAAGAGTAAGAAATTGACCAATCACAGTCGATTATTCTTCTCACATTCGACTGTGATTGGTCA